AGTGGACAGACTTGATAGACATTTAGCAAGTATAATCTTGGTAGTTTGTCAGGTGCCAAGGGTAAACCCATCACTATCATGGGGAGGAGGAGCAAGCAGTGAAAGCATGCAATTCCTTTTTGGTTATGTTCCATCTGAGATGGTTGTGTGACACAACCACGTGGAGAAGCTGAATAGGAAACTAGATACATGGGTTTGGAGGTCAGAGAAGGATCAGAATCATAAATTTGGGACATAGCAATTAAAACCTTGGCATTAAGTCATGCAGGGGAAAGGTGTGGCGTGCAAGGAATGGGCCGAGACCTTTAAAATATGTCATCTGGAGGTCATGGGGAAGCAGGTAAGCAAACCAAGGACCCGGGGAAGCAGGAGGGCAGAGCACCGCTATCACCAAAAGGTGTTAAGGATGAAGAATGAATTTCGCTGAGAGATCAGGTAAAATGAGGAAGGAGAGTGTTCTCTGGATTTGGTCATTGTTGGTGTTACTGGAGGCAGTTGGGGCGGAGTGAATGGGAGTTGGGAGACTAGAATGTGGGCAGGCAGCTCTTTCAACAACTTCAGCTGAGCATAGGAGAGAGGCATGGGAAGGCTCGCGCGTTGTCCAGGAAGGCTCGGGACTGATTAAATGCTGTTGACAATACAGATTCAGTCAAGAGGTAGAGGTTGATGTTAGAATGGATTCAGCGATACCGGGGAAACCGCGGGGTAGATTGGAATCTGCGCTGTGAAGAGTAGGTTGGCAGGTTTGGAGGTGGAAAGTGGATACAGTTCCCTTTTTCTTGAAGCAGGAGACAAAGTAATCTGAGAACAGGGGTCATGGGGGTGGGGGGGGGGGTGGGCAGAGTGGCAATCCTGTTGGGACTGGAAGTTTAGGGCAAAGTGACGCTTAGTGAATGAAGAGAGATGGCAGATCTCGCCAGCCCAGGGTTCGTGCGTCAGCAGGAGAAAGAGGGCCCTTGGACCTTGGATGAGAACCCGCTATAAACAACAACAAAAGCGGCAAGGCCTCGGAAGGAAGGACGCAGTTTCAGGTCTGTTCTGAGAGGCAGAAAGTGGAGACACACATTTGAAGGAACTCCTCCCAGACAGTAAGAAGCCCAGAGTTCTGGTGGTTCCGATCCAGCTCCTTGTTCTGCAGGGAGGCTGCAGTGCCTCCTCGGAGCGCCACCGGCAGCGCAAGACGCTCGAGACAAGACAGGAAAGGACGCGGCGCGGGCGGACCACAGGGAACCGCACGAGCCTCCCGCCTCCCGCAGCCGGCGAGAACCCGCGAGGGGCCGCCCGCAGCCCGCAGCACCCCGCCGCGTGGGACCGCCCCTTCCCGCCCCGGCCCGCCGGGACTCCACTACCACAACTTCGCTTCCTCCTTTCCCGCCCAGTCGTCCAGTCCCTGCGCTTCCTTCGCTGCCGACAGCCCTTCGGGCTCAACGTCACGGGTGCATCAGCCAATGGGCTGAAGAGGGACGGCTGCAGCGTGAAAGTGACGGCAGAAGCAGCCAATGGCCGCAAGGAGGGGGCGGGCCGAGCAGGAGTGTGAGAGTGAGCGCCCGCACGCGTGGGGAGCTGCGGGAGGTGCGGGCGGCGGGCAGCGCGCGGCGCGGGAGGGGGGCGCGGCGGGGCGGCCCCTCCCCCTGCCCAGCTCTGGGCAGGCGACTCAAGCGGCGGGAGTTTCCGCGCCCGGGAGGGAGATGCGGCCGCCGCCCGGGCTCCTTGCAGGTAACGCGCGGGGCGGCTCCTGCAGGGCCGAGTGGGGCGGAGCACGCCGCGGGGCGAGCAGAGTTGGGTGCGGAGTGGACGCGGGGTCCCCGCTCCGCCGCGCCCGAAGCTTCGCCGGCCGGCCCGGGCCCCGCGGCGGGTCTGCTGGAGGAGTTGGCTCCGGGACCGCGATTGCGACTGGGGTCACGGGGCTGCGGGCCCCATGCGCCCCGGTGTAAGCAGCACGCGGGACAAAGGGCTCGGCGCGGAGGGTGCGCGCTCCCCCTGCCCACGCCCCGTTTCAGCTCCTGCGTTCCCTCCACCCGGTGCCGTGGTCACCCCGCCTGCTCCAGCGGGGGGGGGGGGGGGGGGGAGCGGGCCCCTGCGGCACCTGGCCTCGGGGACCCGCGCCACCCCGCGCCTGGCCGCCTGCTGGCCGCGGCGCCGGCGAGGGCTGGGCGCGCTTGGCCGTCTGCCCGGGGTTAAAGGCGGCTCCCCTGCAGCGCAGCGAGTGACCACTGCTCCGCGCTGGCAGCGGGGCTGAGCGACAGGAAGCCGCGCGCCCCCGCCGGGGGCCACCCAGCCGGCACTCCTTGCGCAGGCTTGGAGTTTGGGGAAGCCGAGCAGGTGGCCCAGCAAAGAAGTGGGAACCTTGGATACTAAGGGAGGGAAGCTGCTAAGAGGCGGGGAGGCACGCAGAATGGAGACAGGTGCGCAGGAACTGGGCATTCCAGGTTCTCTGAGGGCCCTGCCGGAGAAGCGAGGGGGAGGCAGACTCAGCTTTCTTGTTGACCCCCCAGGAGCCCGGCCCTGGCTCAGCAGGGCCCCCCAGATGTTAGGGTCCACATCATGCCTTAATCTTCTGTTGCCTGCGCACCAAAAGATGAGTCTGTTACAATCTGAGGTAACAGGTGAGGCCCGACAATGAGTTAAAGAAGCACAAATTATTTTCTGATTCAGTATACTTCCCGTGAGGCTGGCAACCTTTTGTGAAAGAATATTCAAATATTTGGGCCTAAAGTAGATACCATCAAAGCCATCTGCCATGGTCACAGCTCTATGGTGCGTTTAAAACTGTGTAACGTATGTGCTTTCCTCCACGTTAACTTTTGAAATCAAAGAATGCTTCATTGTCTCCGTATTAAATCGTGGGATCTTTCTAACTGTTCAGTCTGGTTTATGTATTTATCTTAGGTAGTAGGAGTAATTTGTTTAGCTGACATGTAGATAACAAATGAATGGTTGGGGCCTGCATGATGACCTGTATTGTGTTTGCAGCTGTAATTTGGAGTTGAGCAATAGTTTATCCTTTCCCTGGAAAAGAAAGAAAAGGCAGCAGCAGGTAGCAACTGGAATTCCCCCAGCGCCTGCAGAGAGCATGAGTCACATCAGGTGGGGAAGCTCCAGGGACCAGCAAGCAGTGGGAGTTGCAGAGCCTTTCGTCTCTGGATTGGAAAGCTGAGAAAGGCCATCGGATGATGAGTCCTGTTAACTGTTGGGTCTGTCTCCACGTTCATTCAGAAGCCTATCGAAAAGTTGTCTGTGACCTCAGAGGGCCTCTTTGGCTGACTTCTTATTGATGCCATAATCTGGGCGATTCCCTTGGAGACCTGGAAACAAATACATGGGCCGAGAGACAGCTGGTATCTCAAAAAACTCGGTAGTCGGGACACTCGTAAGTCAAGGCCCCACTGTACAGTCAAACTGCCTTCCCAGTCAAGGGGCCTGGGATTCTCCTGTGTCTCAGCATGAAAGGAATGGGGGCAGGTCCCTTAACTAGGAAAGACAAGAGCCTCAGTACCAATAAACCAAATACTAACAGGCGTTTTCAAAAGAAAATAGTTGTGTGCCTGTGCTTTCACCCTCCTTGAAGAAGGTACTTGCAATAACGCTAACCACCCCTGGGCACTTATTAAAGCCAGTGTTTCTAAGCTGTAGGTGGGTGTCCTGTTTAACCCTCTTGACGACCATGTAAGGTCAGCACAGCATCGCCCTCACTTTAGAGGTGAGGAAACAGGTCCAGAGAGGGTAGGAACTTGCCCAAAATGTGACTCAGGATTGGAACCCAAGCAGTCTGACCCAAACGTGATTCTGGTAAATGCAAAGAAGGACCTCTTCAGGGTGAGGTGGGAATGGGGACAGATGACGTGATTTGGGGAGGTTGTTTGATATTGGTTTGGGTGAATTCCAAGGCAGGAAGCTCTCGCTGCTGGGAAGTCACTACGCTTTGCAGAGTCCCACAGGAAGTGGACCCTGAGAGGATAGGGGGCATCCACCAGGCCAGAGGACTAAGTGGCAAGGCTGAGACAGAAATGTCGGGCTTTAACATTTTGCCTCTTTGAAAGAAAAGGTCAAAATAAATGTATATTTTTAACTTGACCCCTTCACAGATATTGAAGGTCATAGCCTCACCTAGAATCACTTCCCCTCCTCTTTTCAATACAGCTCAACCTTTTGAGGTATTACCTCAAACCAGTCAGTCTACAGCATTCTCTCCTTCCCCTGTCGTCCGTGTGTGAACCACTGACCTGGCCATCTGTGTGCCCTGCCTCATTATCTCTATTAAACTCCTCTCCCCCAGATTTTCATCTAACTGGCCTGAGTTCTCAGAATCCCAATCATGTTTCATGCACCCACCCTTCCTCCACATACAATGTGATAAGACCGAATAATAAATATTTCTTGATTGAATGCAGTAAGATGGTAACTTTTTTTTTAAATTTTGTAAACTGATTACAAGACTCTAAAACATTATTTCCATTAGGAGGTTGATAAGTGTAGGAGTCCATTAAATCAGTGTTTCTCACAGATAACCCAGCATCAGACACTCGGGTTTCGGTTTGGTAGGCTGCAATTGGGCCTAGGAGAATCCGAATGTGTCCCAGGTGACTTTTCTGCCCACCAGAAGTTTGAAAACTGCAACTTAAACTTTCTAATGAGTGCATGCTCTAAAATTGCAGCATAATGGCCGTCTCACTCTTCCTCACTCAAGGTATGCCCACTGCGGAAGCATTCCGAACAGTGCACTGATAAATAATTATGTTATTTTTCTTGCAGATGTCTAACCAGCATAATGCTGGAGGCAGAGACTGACAGCCTGCAGTTTTCAAAATGGCCGAGCTGGAGGCCGATTTGGAGCACGTCATTCCATCCTCTGTTCCTCCTTTCTGGGCTAAGTTGGTCGTGGGATTGGTTTCCCTCGTGTGTTTCGCACGTAGCTATGATGGAGAGTTTGTCTTTGATGACTCCGAAGCTATTGTTAACAATAAGGTTCGTATCTTAATTCCTTCCTGATAAACTTACGTGAACCACTTGCCTATGTCTCAGTAGTAATCTAAGTTGGTGTTGAATTATTTTCTATTAAATTTGGGCTAAGCCTTTGCCTGGGCTCCAATTGTGCTCTGGATTCCCCATCTCTTTTAGATAGTGTCTCCTGGATTTAGGGCCCCTTTCATTGCTGGCAGCAGGGTCTCCAATCCCTGCCTCACCTCGGGCTCTACCCTCCCCATGTACCTGCTGTGATGTGAGGCCACAGGCCTCACACATGTATCAGAGAGGCTGTTATTCTAAGATTTCAAGGTAAGCGCGTTGCAGGGCATTGCAGACCGAGTATTTCAGGGTTTGTGATAAATCTCCCGAACTCTGGGGCAGAACGGTTCCAGGAAAAAAGAAAATCACACATGCTGCAGTGATCATTCACCAAAAGGTACATCCTCAGCAGCAGGCAGCGAGCTGGCCTCTTTGTCCTTGGATGATAGCATCAGGACAGCTGCTGACAGCTGCTGGAGGGTGGGGAGCGGTGCAGTTCCTGCTCGTTTCGTGTTCAGAGACTCACATTTGCAGAATCAGCAAAATCCCAGCACTTCTGCTCACCAGTGGGTGCTGCATCGGTTCAGGGAAAGCCTATCTCTTCCACTTCCCTAGGGATAGGGAAGAAGCCATACAGTGTGGGAAGGGAAGAAAAAGATTTCAGCGAGCTTAAAGAAAACTGGAATAAGAAAGTCGGGGACAGGCAGGGGCCGAGAGGGGAAAGACCGTGGAGATGGCACAGGTTAGAGTCCTATGACAGTCTAGTTACTCAACAGGTATTTTGTGTGTATGCCTTCACCAGTGAAGAGGGTTTGAAGGAATATACTAGTTTTTCTCTCTGGTAGATGCAATTGTAGCAACTCTTTGTAACACTGTTTTTTAATGCTCTTAAATTTTTGAAGTCATGGATTCAACCAAATGAGGGAAAATTTATTATCACATTGAAAATATTGGAAAAAATTGTCTATGTGACAAACATTCTTTTCCAGGAGGGGTGGGAGGAATGACTGTTTTGCATATATTTTATTTTAATGGATTGCAACTGATTTTCTCTATTTTTGACGGCACAAACTACAGCATTGTTGATGCTTGTTTTTAATTCAAGTTCTTCATTTGTAGTTTTCCTCAATTCACCCAGCCGTTACCTGCAGATGTTTCTATTTCAGTCCTTTTTAAAGCCAGGCTTAAAGGAAAAAGAAGGAAGTTTGTAGCCCTAAGCAACTATGTATGTCACACTCGTGGCTTAATAGCTATAGAATTCCTAACAAGGATTCGAGGGTATGCCTTTACTTTAAAATTTTTATTCTTCATTTTATTGAGAGTTTCTTGACTCTTCCACTTTTGTTAAGTGGAAGATATATAAGGTGTTAACTTATATATGGGAGAACTTCGATAAGCAAGGCCGGGACAGCTTGAGCTCTGTCGAATGTGCGATGCCCTGGGGGGGGTGGCTGTAGTTCTCTTTCCTTCTGGGTGGGGGAAGGCAGATGAAGCCAGTCGTGGCTCTACGGCACATTGTCTTGGCAGTGTTTTCTAGAGCATCACACTGCCCCTTTGTCAACTTGCTAGCCCTCCCTTTTTTTTTCCTGTTTCATGAAAGGCACTTCTCCATTCATTGGCACCGTGCCTACAGTAATGTGGAGCAGGCTGTGACCGGGTGTTATTGGTGTTAAAGACTGCTTTCCAGATGCATCCTTGCAGGGTTGAGTTGCCTTCTTTCATTGAGATGATTTTCTTTGAGACGTGAAGTTAGCAGGAATTTCAGACATAACACGTCTTTTCCGTAAATCCTTATCAGGAAAACTTGGCCTTCCTGTAGCATGCCCTGCTTGTGTAGGCTACACCTCATCAAATATTTAGAACTTGGTTGGTGTTTATTTACTGCTCAAATGGAAGGAAAGAGCCTCTGCCCGACCCTTTCACAACTACTGAACAGGTGCTTCTGGGACAATGCAGAAGAAGGTAGACTTCCAGTTTTGTAACTGAGTGGACTCAGTTGGTGGGTGGGTTGTACAGGGCCTTCCAGAAATATCTAACCGACTCAAAAGACGGTGTTGGGACACTCAAGGTCTCTGAAGCTGATACCCAGTCGAAGAGAACCGCCGCCTCAGAGTAGGCATCAGGTGACCAACCTTGTATCTCTTGCCTCTTCTCAAGCCTGCCCTTTTGAGCCAGCAAGCACTTAAGTAGCCAGGACTCACTGAATCCACTGTGTGCCGTGGGCACGGGGTGCTCTCTGGACCAGCCACGATTTGACACACTTCCTCTGTTTGGGGCATTCCCTGCCTTCTGGTTGTTAGAAGCTACACAGACTGTCCAATTTAGATACAGACACAGACATAGGCTCTCCTATCAGGTGTACCACCTGTTGGAGTGAGGAGCTACTCATGCAAAGAGGTGGGGTCTGGAGGCGCCCAGGCAGCCTCAGGGAGGTGCCAGCGGTGGGAATTGTGGGTGTGCTTCTGGCTGCACCATCCTAACCTGGTTTTCCAGCCCACCTGGGCGTCCAGGAACCTTGCACTCACTTTAAAGCGTCCCTTTTTTGCTCACATTAATCAGAGTTGATTTTGGTTACTGCACAGTCTTGACTGATATATCATGTGGTGCTCAGAACATCATAATTTCTAGTCCCTAAAATATTCCTGTTTAATTATGCTTTAAAGAGAAAATTAATATTCAGTTTTGTTACTCCACAGTAGCCTGTCTGCCTTTTTTCTTGTTAGACACAGTTTCAAATTTAAATGTAAAAAAAGATGCGTTTTTTAAGCATCTGTAGCACAGTACCAAATTAAATTACCTTAGTAGTAAGATAGGTATAATTTTTTAAAATAGTGATATTTATCTTTAAAAATTATGTAGAAGTTGTTTTTCCTTTAATATTACTGTCTGCTTAGCTCATGACTAAAAATGGGAAACTTAAATACATGTTTATCCACACTCACGAGAGAGGGTAATAGTGATCTCATTTAGCTATAAGGTCCATTCATTCATTCAGTATAGATGAACATCTTCCATGTACCCCCAGCAAACACAGACGTGTCCCCGCTTCTCGGAGCCCCAGGGCAGTGGGGCAGACAGATAATAGTCACTAGACTATAAATCGCCAGTGTGCCCGGCGCTGTGAGGACGGGTGCAAGATGCCCAAGACCCACAGAAGGGAAATTGCATCAGCTTAGAAAGGTCATAGCTCAGTGGCTGAGAGATGAATGGCAGGAGGAGCTGAGTTGTGAAGAGTTGAGGAGTGACCAGCTGGATGGAAACCTGAACATGCAAAGCCTTTGAGTGGATGGTAGCAGGAGCTGTGTGGGAACCAGACAAAGGCCATTAGCAGATCACTGAGCCCAAGAGATGAGCCTGCAGAGGCTGGTGGGAGCCAGAGCACCCCCGACTGTGGCATCTATGTTAAAACATTGGCTTTGTCCTAGAAAGGGGGGAGGGAGGGGGAGCTGTAGCATTGTTTTAAGCTGAGGTGGGTACAGTGACTCAATTTGCATTTCGGAAAGAGCAACGTGGAGAACATATCAGAGGGCCCAGGAGACCTGCTGGCAGGCCTGCCTGTGTCCTAGGTGAGTGATGATGGTGGCTCAGCCCAGGTGGTGGAAGGGTTGGGGAATAGAGGTATGAGGAACTTTAAAGAAGGAGACTTGGTGAGGGCTTAGCTATCACCAGGAGTCATGACTCCTTTGTCCCGAATGTCCTCTGGTTGTGTTCCTGCAGGACCTCCGAGCAGAAACGCCCCTTGGGGACCTGTGGCATCATGACTTCTGGGGCAGTCGGCTGAGCAGCAACACCAGCCACAAGTCCTACCGGCCTCTCACCGTCCTGACTTTCAGGTAAGGTATGACGGTGTGGGCTGCACGCGAGGGTCACCCACAGCTTGTGCATTTTAATATACCAGGTTGCATGTGACAGGATTCCCAGAGTCTAGGAGTCAAGTTAATAGTTCCTAGAGAAGCATAAGCCACTCACCTTTATGGGTTTCCAAGAAGTACGTGACAGTTCTAACTATTAGGAGTTAGGTCACAGGAGGACGGAGAGAACCGGCATGTGGAAACGTTACTGCAGGGCTTGCTTTGGCAGGAAAGGTGCTAAAAGTGGGGCAACAATACAGAGTTAGCATGGCCCTCTCAAGGATGACATGCACATGGGTGAAGCGTCCATTTTTCACAGCTCTTGGAGGTTGGACCCTTTGCTGGCGAATACCCAGGAAACTGTGAGACAGGCAACATGTGGCATCACATGAAATTGTCATTTTTTTCACTACAAATAAAAGGCATCAATCTTCCTGCTGTTACCAAGTCAATAGGCAAAAAAAAAGTTAAAAACAATCTAACTCTCCCCATTAATCAGGGAGCTGTTTGCATGAAATAGATTTATTCACCACACAGAGTTTCTATGCATAGCTATTTCTTTGACGCATTAAATACTTGTCTGTAGATCTCTCAAAGAAGCATGGAGATGATGAAATGGAACCACTGGTAATGGAAAAGCAGTCAGAAATAAGAATCCCTGACAATGAGAAAGTGGTTCATTGTTCAGAAGGCTGGTAGAAAAACTGTAAAGTACCTTTTTTTTTTTTAATAAGCAAGTTACATGACTGTCTTATATCCAGGTTCCTGTGGGATAGCCATGAGTAATGTGTGATACATTTTTTTTTGCAGTCTTGCCTTCTTTGCACTTAAAAATTTGACTGGCTTTCCTTTCGCTTTCCCTCTCCACGTATTTTCTGTCCCACCCCTCTGAGATCCCCTTGTCGTCTATTTCCCCCTCTGCAGCTAACTGTTCTTACCTTCTCCAATTTTCCTAGCTTAGCAGCACTATTTAGCTGGGTGTTATTTTAACCAACATTGCACAACGTCTTTCTTTTCTCCTTTTAGTATTTTTACTCACCAGCCTTTTCCTTTAGATGGTTTGCATTTTATTTCATGTGCTTCTGCGTGCCTGGTGTGAGCACCCTTCTTCTGCTACAGGATTAACTACTATTTGTCGGGAGGCTTCCACCCCGTGAGTTTCCACGTGGTCAACATCCTCCTGCACGCTGGCATCTCCGTCCTCATGGTGGATGTCTTCTCGGTGCTGTTTGGCGGCCTGCAGTACACCAGCAAAGGCCGGAGGTTAAACCTGGCCCCCAGGTCATCCTTGCTGGCCGCTCTGCTGTTTGCTGTGCACCCGGTGCACACTGAGTGTGTGAGTATCACCCACCCGCGGCATCTGCACTTGTGTGGGTTTGTTTCCTAAAACAGGCTTCCTTTAAATGCTCATGGAGCTGTGGTGGTGCCCTGCCAGGCGTTGGAGACGATTGTATGCAGGTCCAGCAGGTCTCTCTTATGGAAAAATGCAGAGTCCCCAGTTGACCAAGACTTTAGACTGGCAGCATGGTTTGCTCGCTGGTGATGCTCTCTGGTTCCCTCCTATACCCACACTGTAAAGGTATGCATGTTGAATGTTGCCTGGCTTTGGGGTATACAAGCCAGAGGCCAGCACTACCTTTCTCCATGTTCCTGTGTTAGCTGAGAGGTTTATAGTTTGCAAAGTATTTTCTCACACTGTTGTGATTGTCACAAAAACTCTGTGGGATGAGATGGGGCAGCATCACAGTTTCACTTTACAGAAGAGGAACTGGCCTGGGAGGACAGGTAAAGGACTTATCCCAGGGCAGTCATGTGGCTGGTGGAAATAGGAATAGAACTTGAAACCTGGTTGTCCCAGGTCTGTGCAGGGACGCTGCCGCCATACTCTGAGTTGAACTAGAAAGTGGGTCCCCAAGTCCTGCTGTGGAATTACGAATTCTCCCCACCTTCCTTCTCCTTTTCTTGGCCCCCTGCATTATTCTCCTCCCCTTGACATGTGGTTTGGTAGCTCCTGATGGGCCTGACCCACTATCCTGTGGGCCATGCCTTTATTCCACTGAGCCTGCTGCTGAGTATATGTGGTACAAACCATATGGGGGTTTCAGAAACCACGCTACCCCCACCTCCACGGGAACCCTTTGGAAATGTAAGTCATGTTTGCTGAGGTAAAAGATTTTTGTTTTACTCATTCATTCTGTGAGCATGAAGTACCTCATATAAAATACTACATATGCTTTATTACTTCGCATCAGTTTATTTCTGCATTTCATGTGTTATTTAAATACCTACACTTTAACCAAGTGCTTTGAGCATCTTGGAATTAAGTGTCAAAAGTTTGAGCAGAATTCCTGCCTTGAGTGTCTGATTTTATAAATTTTATTAAACTACCTATTCTTTGGTATTAAGAGGGTTGTGGAATTGTTCTTTCAATGTTCTTCTAATATCTACTTTAAAGCTTTAAAAAATTCTCATAATTTTTTACTTCAGCAAATTCAGAGGACTTCAGGTATTGGCACGCTTGGAACTGCTGCAAGCTATGTATTTGTGTTCAAATTAGAATTTGTTTCTGTCCGAGTTCTCTTTATGGTCTAAATGTTTGTTGGGATTCAGAAATAGTGTACACATTAATCAGAAATAAGGGAATTTCTGGCAGAAGTACTGATTTGGTACTTATCTGATTTTGTGTGATCTTAAAAGCAAAAGCAAATATATGAATTATTAACCAAAGACGTTTTTCTAAAACTCTGATTTTAAATATTTAGAAGTTAGTTTGTAAACAAGTTTGAAATGCCAACAAGTATAACTGGATGTGCGCACACCTCCCCAGATAAATGCAATCCGGGGATGTTACCACCAAAATTCTACATTTGCGATATTTAAAAATAGGAGAAAGGGGAGTATCTGAAAAAATTTCTTAATCTCTCCCACCCTTCCATTCTATGAAAGTCATTCGAACTCATAATGCAAGGAACAGTTTAGGCTTATTCGAAATTAGCATTCCTAAGACAGATCATTTATACATTCACCTTCCATTGTTTTGACAAATAGTCGGTATTCGGTTTCCTCTTATCTACACCTCCCGGTTATTTTCCACTCTACATGGTACCCAGCTTTAAAGTGAGCATAAAGCAGGTTGACCCAGAGAATCAGATGGAGGGAGAGCTCCTCGGAGTGTTCCAGGCCAGAACCGAGGAGGCCGCCTGTGCTGTGGGCTGGGGCCTGGCCCTGGGCACAGCATCCCCACCTCCCACCCCCACTGAACATTGATCTGGGATGAGGCTTGAGGATTTGGGAGTAATTGTGCTGCTTCTGTTTACATTTATTAAGGGAAAGTAGTGGCAGTGTAGGCCCCTCCAGTGTTAGTACTGTAAATTTCCGTATATTAACATTTATGTGTTTTGTGTCTTGACATTAATAATGAGAATGCTTTTGCACACTGAAAATAAGAACCTACATTTTCTGTGCCCTGGCTGGGTGACTCGGTCGGAACATTGTTCCATGCACCAAAAGGTTATGTGTTCGATTCCCAGTCAGGGCACATACCTAGGTTGTGGGTTCCATCCTTGGAGCGTATGTGGGTGGCAACTGATTGATGTTTCCCTCTCCCTCCCTTCTTCTCTCTATAAAAACCAATAAAAAACATATCCTTGGTTGAGGATTTTTTAAAAAGAGCCTACATTTTCCAGTCTTTGGGGTGATCAGCCATCCCCTTTGCTTAAGACTAAGGGGGTTATGGGATAGCCCTAGGCAAACTGAGATCGGTCAGTCACACCCTGCAGACTTCCTACCTCATGGTCTCCAGTTGGTAGTAAAATAATTGTAATCCTTTTTTGTTGTTGTTGTTTTATTTTTTAAATTTTTATTGTTGAAAGTATTACATATGCCCCCTCTTTCCCCACATTGACCCCTTCTAGCCCACCCCCGTCCCAGGCCTTCACCACCCTATTGTCTGTGTCCATGGGTTATGCATATATGAATACATGTAATCAGTTTTATTTTGCTTTCCAATTCATAGGAATGTCTCTTATTTCCAGCTATGCCACCCCAAATCACTCTGAGGTATTTGTAGATGGGAAGGGCTCCAACACACTAGTCACCAGAAGAGGGAGGGGAGCTAAGGGAGGGGGTTGCCTAGTCCAGTGATGGCGAACCTATGACACGCGTGTCAGAGGTGACATGCCAACTCATTTTTTTTGGTTGATTTTTCTTTGTTAAATGGCATTTAAATATATAAAATAAATATCAAAAATATAAGTCTTTGTTTTACTATGGTTGCAAATATCAAAAAATTTCTATATGTGACACGGCACCAGAGTTAAGTTAGGGTTTTTCAAAATGCTGACAGGCCGAGCTCAAAAGGTTAGCCATCACTGGCCTAGTCCCTTGTCTCTTTGGAGACCAGGAAGCAGTCCCTGGGGGGTTCCCTGAGGACACAGTGCAATTGTAAGTTTTCGTTTTCTTCAGAGCATTGATGAAGGTGTCAAGTTGCCTGAATTTGGGTATCAGAGAGGGATGCTCAGGCCACCTTAATCTGCCCGTTCAATAAATCCAGAGCTTAATGCTGAAAGCACTGGGTGGGGAAAGATCCTCCCTGTCACCTTCTCCTAATTCCTCCCTGTGGCCCCTGTGCACATTGTTCCTAGTGGGAATAAAAGTGAGCCACCTTAAGGATTCGGGGGAGGTTGTGGGGGCAGGGGGAGGTTGGCAGTGATTCCTCTAGAGAACCGTAGGGGAGGAAGAAATTTTATTCTAGGTTCTTTCAGCTGGTCTAATAATTAAATCAACATGAGACAGACTAATAAGAGAAAATAACCAAATTTAATTACATAAGTATGTACGGGAGTCCCACATCCATGAGAAAGTCAGAACCTCCCACATACATGAAGGTTCAGAGACAGAAAAGGGAAAATGAGGTATGTAAGGAATGATGTGAGATGCCTTGGGGTGGGGGTGGCGGGGAGGGAAGTTTGCAGGATGATAAGAGCAGATGTTCAGTAATTAGAAGTTTGCCCTGCCCTATAGGTAGTTCATGAAAAGTTATTTCTGGTAATAAGTCATTAAGGGCAAGGCCCCCAATTTAGATTTCTGGATAGTTAAGGGAAGAGCAAAAATTTCTCCTGAGCCCATAGGGTCTCAACTGCCTTCAGCTCAAAATAGCATGCCAAAATGGTGCATTGTGGGGAAATTTGTTCTGAACCCCTTCAAAATCCTGATATGAATGTTTCAGGTTATTTGTTAGAAAAAATAGCCTTTGTAAAGAACTTTGCCTGAAAATATATTATGCAAAAATCAGAAAGGAAAAATAAAGTCTCTCTGTACTCATGCCCATTTCCCAGTTAGATGTGGTGTCTGCTTAGATAGCCTTTTACAATCTTGTCTATGAAATCTCTTTAATATATGAAAAATTTATTGTAAGGACTGAATACTCTTTTTACTTTAAAACAATTGCCATAGTGTTTTAAACCCCGTTTTTCTTTATGTCAGACAATGTAATGTATATTGCTTAAAACTTGGTAGTGTCTTCACCAGCTAGCCAAAGGAAGAATATTTGTTTTAAAAATAAGTGATGATGTTTAAAGTTCACATTAGTGAACCTGCATCAAGAGTTCAAGATCAAAAAAAAAAAAAAAGAAAGAGTTCAAGATCAGAATGTATAATTGCCCTTAGCATTGCATATCTGATCAGTGTAGCGGGAAACTCCTACTAAAAGGTTATAGTCTTTAACTGTCCCTAGGTAACAAGTGGTTGGCTCTTTTGGCCCCTATTCTTGTATTTATCCAAACCACTTCCTTCCCCTTCACTCATTTCAAGGAACCTTTTTTCTCTGAACCCTCTCCCCAATCCCTCCATGATCTGAGGACCCCCTTGGATAAGCTTCTCTGGGTTGACTTTGCTTGTTTTATTCTTCCTAAGGAATTTGGGTTCCGGGCCATCCTCAGGCTCTGTAGACAGCCACAGCTGGAAGATGCCCTCCTTTCTCTCCATCTCTCTCCTGGCGGCAGGCCCACAGAACCAGCTGCTCCATCCCTCACTCACCAAGGTGCTCTGGAGCTCCTACCTGCTTCACCCTCAGCTGCTGTGTCCTGTTTTCATTCCTTTCTGCCCTTCGCATTTATAGAAGCACAATTTGGGATTCATACGGGAAACTAACAGTGAGCCAGCACCTTCTGTGTGCTCTGCTCAGTTTCATTGCACTCCTGATTTACTGTATCCCTCACTGAGTGAATTACAGGCCAGACTATTCAAGAACTCTCACTGCATATTTACTTCACTCGTGAAGTGATTGCACTGTTTAACCCTCCGGCATGCTGGCATAGTCATTCAGACCTGTTGAGCCTTTGTCCTTAGTTCCCTCTTGGATGTGGGTGGCATTCACAGGCTGGAGTCATCAACCCTTTCAGGCTTCTCAGAGACTGCGGGACACCTTGGGCTGCCACGTGCACCTGCATCAGGAGTTCAAGATCAGAATGTGTGATTGCCCTCAGCTTTCATATCTAACTCGTGTAGTGGGAAACTCCCAAAAGGCTTTCTTTATAGCTTTTGCTTATACACACACTCGTGGTTCATATGTAAATTTAGTAATTTCATGTTCATTGTATGTTATCTTATTTCCATTTATAGAATAGTCTTTATTCTGTATCTCATATATCATATATGCCCTTTAAGAAAAGGTGAACTTACCAGTCATTGAAGTGATACTTAAAGTATCACTTGGATATATGTCACATCCAGGTGCTAGTTAGTAAAGAATGCCACATAAACTAGCCCAATACTCACGGGTGGAATTCTGCGTCTTTCATTTGCCATGAAACATTTTGAGAACACTATTTGGAGTAATTAGCCTGGAAGAAATGAAATGCGAATTGGATATGGCTTCATTGTCACTAATATAAAGAAGGGAAGACAGTCATCAGGTATAGAAAATGGGGGGAGGAATGGTAGAAATGTTATTCTGTTTTTGTCTTGCCGATAGCTTTTGAAGCATTCTTTCCAGATTAACCCACTTCATCGGTTTTGGTCTGAATTGAGGAAAAGGTGGCAGAGGCAGCTTTGAGTCATTATTCCTGTCTTTTTTATCTGCCTCATGACTTTTAACCCTTATTTCCCACCTTCCCTTCACGTTTCGAATCAAGTTTTCTTTTTTAAATATCATTCCCTTTCAGCTGATAGCATTTTCCACTTGACAGTCCACTTTGGAGACATCAGAAACACAGGTCTCTGCCGCTCTTGGGGACAGGGTGCTAAGTAACAGGGCTTCTGCTGCATACAGTACATGCATCGCTGACTGTCCAGCCCACACAGTAGCCATCAGTGGGTTCTAAGCAATCCGACTTTCTCTTAGAAACAGTTAAGTCAAGTCCTAGACCAAAAGCATAAGAAAACCGATTCTAAGATAAGACCACAGGCTGTTGCAGGTACGCAGATTATTTTAATAGAGATGGTAGAGTCAAATAAGGTTTTTTTTCTATTTCTAAGGAATTTGTTTGTATTTCCTAAGTTTAGGATTTGTTAAAAATATATATTTTTTAATGTAAATTTCTTTTTCTTCCCCTTCTTTTAAGGTTGCTGGTGTTGTGGGCCGTGCAGACCTCCTGGGTGCCCTGTTCTTTCTGTTGTCCTTCCTGGGCTACTGTAGAGCGTTTAGAGAAAGTAAGCATGATGTTTGTCTTCTTAATTTTGAGATGGGAAATTATGTGCGTATATAAGGTCGTCACTTTGAGGGAATGTGGGGAAAAGGTGTATGCCCGCTGTAGGTGTCTTGTTTCACTCCATTGCTTTTTTAATAACGCAGAGTTTGTGCATCAGTAGTCACACAGGAGCAGCCTGCTGTGCGGTGAGACCAAGAGCTTCTGCCCTAGGCACTGAAGCAGTTGTGATTGATTTTTGTGATTTTATTTCCAGCTTTTGGTTCTTTTTTATTAAAACCTCATGGAGGGGAAAAAAAAAAATAGAAAAACGCTGAAATGGATAGCTATGCACCTGGAGTGCAAGGTTCTTGTTTTTTATTGGAGCATTATTAATACTTACAAAGTCTGTTGACTTTTCTCAAAGACAACTCTAAAGTCTCAGGAAGTACCATTTTATTAATTTTAACTTACCTTCCTTTAAAGTAACTGCTTCCTATTCTGAGTAGATTTCAAAGACATCAGGAGTGCTTTTTGAAGAAAGTATTAAATGTTGATAGTTTTAACATATGTGGGGCACATTTATTTAGGAGGTATAATAAAACCTCTCTTTAATTCTAAAGATTGTTCTTATGAAATAATGGAAAAATTTCAGGAGACTAAAAATTCTATCAAGTGAATTGATACATTTATTAGTCTCCTCTAATGGAATATTCTCACAGAAGGTGGAAAACTAAAGACATTGTATATTGTTTTCCTGGGTCCTTTTGCTAATCTTTTCTCTGTTCCAATTCATATGCATACATTTTTTCATATATGTGTCTGTTTTTAATTCATATGTAAATTATAAAATTATATCTGAGAGCCATCCAGACAAAAGAGAGATTTTTTTACTACCATTTTTTCTTGTTTTTTGAGGTAGGCCTGTAGAGCTATAAACTGCCCTCTCAGGACCGCTTTCATTGTGTCCCATAGGTTTTGGATTGTTGTGTTTTGAGAGATTTTTTTAAATAAAACCTTTGGAAACTAATACCAAAGGTAAAAGTGCTTAATGTGTGATGGATTTTCAATTAATACTTTGATTCATGAAACATTAGTTAAGCATATTTCAGTATTAATGGAACTATCTTAACTAGTAGCAGCAATATAACCTTTATTTTTATTTTTTTTTAAATATATTTTATTGATTTTTTACAGAGAGGAGGGGAGAGGGATAGAGAGTTAGAAACATCAATGAGAGAGAAACATCGATCACCTGACTCCTGCACACTCCCTACTGGGGATGTGCCCGCCACCAAGGTACATGCCCTTGACCGGAATCGAACCTGGGACCCTTCAGTCCGCAGGCCGATGCTTTATCCACTGAGCCAAACCGGTCAGGCATAACCTTTATTTTTTTAGTCCAGGAGCATTCTTTTAACATTTATGACATTTTTACTTTAAAATTGGAAAGGGATTTTATAAAGAGATTGTTACAGGCCTTTCATGTTAAGGATGCAGATGGTTTCAAGAAAGCTAACCTGGAAATATTTAGTGTTTGCACACCGATAACAGTGGTAGTTGTGGCTTTAGCGGAAACCCTTTTAGGAGTATGAATAGGTTTTCATTTGGTTGAAGTGACTGGGAACAGTTAGAAGGCAGATGGATGGGTACGGAAGCCTTTGAAGCCTTCCTGACGGCCTTGTGTCTACAGGAAGGCCTGACCTTCCCGGGCTTTGGTGCTCTGCTCACTTGAACCCTCTTTAGGAAAAGGAAAGAGTGGATTAAAATGGAGCCTTTGGACCCACCTCCAGACTGGTGTGTTCCTGGCAGTCACCGACAGCTTGTTCAGTCTTTGGAAAATAGAAAGCTGTAGGAGGTTGCCCCTCTTCACGCATCCAGGTCTCCGGGTCTTGACCCTGAGAGTTATTTTTGGCCACGGACTTTTGTCTCCTTTCTGTCCTCTGACTGTGGCCTCTTGCCCACGCAGGCTTTGAGTTAAACTATATCAGAATGATTTCTTCTTGGAAGTTTAAAGTGGGCTGGAGCACCCACCCCTCCAGCTGCACTCTCCGTCGTTGTGAGGTGGTTTTCGCTGCCATTTTCAGTTCCCACTCATTGTTTTCACGGACGGTGCTGGAATGATTCCAATCTGCCTCCCAAGCTTGTTGCGGGTCTGAGATGCAGAACAACGGGGACTCTTAAGAGAGGGACTTACACTTGGTTACCTGCTTATTTGGAGGAAGTCCTGTGTCCTACACACGAGGCAGTTCTCTGTCCCCTCCCCAAGAAGGTTCGGGGTCCTGAGCCCTACCCGCTGTAACCTCAGGATCCAGCAGACCAGATGCCCAGCCCTGTCCCTTGCTCTGCTCAGCCGGCACCATTGGAACAGCCCCTTCACCCTGCCGGGCACTGCCCTGTCCTCTCCTGTCCACAACTCCCAAATCCTGCTTTGCCTCAGTGCTGATGAATTTGGGTGGAGCCTTTCCTAGTCTCCGTTGACACAGGCACTGTGTGTTCAGCCTCTCTTCTGTGTGTCAGATGCTCCGTACTCCTTCTTCAACATGCTAAAATAGAAACTACTTCTGCCCTGGCCAGTGTCGTTCAGTGGTTAGAGCGTTGGCCTGAACACCAGAGGGTCTCGGGTTCCATTTCCAGTCAAGGGCATGTACCTGGGTTGCAGGTTCCATCCCTGGCCCTGGTGTTCGGGAGGCAACCAATCAATTTTCTCTCTCTCGCCCCCTTCCCCCGCCTTTCCACACTCCAAAACTCAATGGGGAAAAATACTCTCAGGTGAGGATTTAAAAAACAAACAGCTTTTTTGTTTATAGAGAATAACTTTCTGGAATAATTCGCCCCCCCCCCCTCCGTGGAATAATTTTTATAAGTACCGCGCGCTAACCGATTGCGCCACTGGAGCTCCCCGTGGAATAATTTTTAAACATCATATTAATGTCCAACTTCACAAATATGATGGCCGAGTCTTGTTTAAGAGGAGCAAAGCTTTCACAAACTAATAATAACTTTACAGAGGAGAAGCAGTGAGAGCTCTGTGCAAAAATAATTCTGGTTAAGGAATTCATGATGAGACACTTCTGATTCTGTCCTAAAATGGCATACAGGATTATCAGGGTTGGTCATTCATTCTTTCACCAATAATTAATCAAACACGAAGGGCATCCTTTGTAGCAGGCCCTGTGTCAGGGACACAAAAACTAAAAGGACACAGTCCATGCCCTTGAAGGACTTAGAGCCTGGCACAGTTTGACTAAAATAAAGCTTCCATTATTCAGATTGCTCAAGGAACAGAATATTCTGGTTTTCCATACTACCCTGTCAACTTTTTCCTCCCTGTGGCCTCCTCACAGCAGGTACTCAATAAGTATCCCCTTCTTTTCATGGTGTGTTTATGCAGAATTGATGACTGTGCCCTCAGTACTCCCAATTTCTTTGTCTGTTTGCCCTGGAATGTACAATTTATTATTTTATTGAGATATAATTGACATATAACATTGTATTAGTTTTAGGTGTACATCATAATGCTTTGATATATGTATATATTACAGAATGATCACCATAATAAGTCTAGTTGACATCCATCACCCTACATAGCTATACCTTTTTTTTTCTTATAAGAACTTTTAAGATTTACTCTCTTAGCAACTTTCAGATATACAGGACAGTATGAACTGCTGTCACCATGGTATACATTACACCCCAGGACTTATTTTATAACTGGCTGTTTGTACCTTTTCACCACCTTCATCCACCCCATCCCCCACCCCACCTCTGGCAACTACTACTCTGTTCTCTCTGAGTTTGGTGTGTGTGTGGTTTTTTTTTAGACCCCCTCATAAAAGTGAGGTCATACAGTATTTGTTTTTCTCTGACTTATTTCAGTTAGCATAATGCCTTCAAGGTCTGTTGTGTCGCAAATGACAAGATTTCCTTTTTTATGGCTAGATAATATTCCGTTGGCATGTGTGCCACATTTTCTGTATGCATGGGTCTGTCAGTGGACACTTAGATTATTTCCATGTCTCGGCTGTTGTAAATAATGCTGCGGTGAACATGGTGCATGTGTCGTCTCGAGATAGTGATTTTGGTTTTTTTTGGGTAAATACCATGAAGTCGAATTGCTGGATCATATGGTGATTCGTTTTATATTACTAATTTTTTTCATCTACTCTTAAATTTTTTTGAGTCAAACAGAGAAGAGTCCTTGATACTAATGGACATTGGGTGTGTATATTTTCATTTGGACTTTGAGATATCGCAAACAATAGTCACACATTAGTCACACATTTTTATTTCCCCCCCTCGAGTCAGTGTGGGCTGTAAAAGACACCAGGGCGGGGGGGGGGGGGGGGGCGGGGCGTAAACACGCCATGGCCATGAGGAGTCTTTGGGCCAGTTGCTCGTGTTGTCCACATGTTTGCAAGTGTTCCACTGGGACTCAAAGCTCTTCTGGTGGAAGTTCAGCCCAGCGTTTACTGAATACAAATACTAATGCTATTTATTATTTAAACTTATGTTTAAAGTGACCTGGTCTTTGTTCTTCTTGGATCTGAACATAAATTCAAAGAAAGGCCTAATGTTAGTTGCATATAAATTTGAAGTTCAAGAAAGGTTTTTGCGGAGAAACAGAGTTAATATTTTTTATAAGGAAACAAAATATTGAGTACTCTGAAATGAATGATGGAACTAGTTCAAAAGCTCTTTCAGAGGATATATATTTTTTTGATAACCTCATTAGCTTTCTTTATAGATGCGATGCTTGTATTATAAACCTCGGGACAGTTTTTAACTGCCTGAGTTTATTAACAAGCCATTCTGTACTAACCTCCAGAATCCTGGGGTTTTTGTAAAATGAAAAAAATCTACACACATAACATTTGTCTGACCTTTTGTGGGTGTGTGCTTAACTTGAGTGTCTCTAAGCAAGATCTTTTGAAACAGAATCCTTTTTCAAAAAAAAAAAGTTTCCTTATAAAGGAAGCATACATTTTCTCATAAAAAGGAAAAACACTAAGTCAAATGAAGTCG